TTTTGGTGGTGCTAAACATAGCAAGTGACACCCAGCATACTTCCGTCTCAGATGCACAAAGTTCCCCAACAGCATGAAGCTCCTGTGGCCCAGAGCATTGACTTTCTTGACTATGCCCTCCCTGTGGGAACCGAGTTGTTAGGACCACTCCCTAGGAAAAGGGCTGTGTATGTGAGAGTTTAAGCTTCCTCGTACTTCATGGTACATCACCCCTACCTGTTTGCTGCTCAGAGAGTTTGCAGTCTCCCTTGCAGCCATGTCTGGAGGATGCTGCAGATTAGTAATGTCCACAAGACATGCTTTCATAGACAGGCTCAGACACCTACATCCCCTTCCTCACTTCTGCCATGGCTTGCTGAACTTCCCAATCTATGGAGAACAGCTGGGGACATGTAGGAAAATGAGTTCACCCCCCAGAGTGGCTGGGGACACTTACTGAACTTCTTCCTCAGCCATTGCTGTACAAGGCCGAGGCCAAGAGTGTGGCAACAGTCAACACTCAGCAAGGAGACTGAGTGCTCAGAAGAGGGAGGCCAAAGCCCAAGATCCTCCGGACGGGTGGGTATCTTTCAGTCAAGGCTGCGGAAGTCAACAGACAACACCGCAAACTATGGGCGGATTGGCACCATACTCACACCTGTACACATTCCCCTAAGGTGGACCCTGGAACAGAGTTCGCTATGGAGTGGATGCTCCACTTGCTGCATGACTGAATAAATGGATGAATGCATTGTGGACTTATTTTGAAGTATATATATATATCAAAAAGCGATCCCTAACCATTGACTTGGTTTTCAATTGTTTATTCTAAACTTGAATAAAATGGGATGCAGTTCAGATTTTTCGGGGCCTGGCCATCCTTAAATTACCTCTTCATGTACTCTCACTCAAACCCTCTTACAGTATTCCAGATTCATGTAGTGGACTTTTGTAGAACTATGTGGAAGTAGACTTGTTTTGTTCAGTCAAGGTAGACATAACGGTTGTTCGTTACCACCTGATGGTGGTAGGAAAGGCACAAGGCACTGGTGTGCTGGGCTCTGTTGTCAAGGACCCAGTGCAAAGCAGAAACCATGATCTGTCCATTTACAATGGCCTTTCATGGCTGGCTCCCATGAAAGTCATCTTCAACCATGGTACCCTGACACAAAATCATCATCCACATAAGTGGATGAGAAAAAGCATCTCTGCTCAAAAACACGGAGAAAAGTATGTTTCCAAAAGCATGCAAAAAAAGGGGTGTTTTTTTCTTTCTTCTGAAAACTCAGAGCAAGACAAAATATTATTTTCACAAGAGCTGCTATGCATTTGGCCACAGACAAGTCTTTTTGCTTTCTAAAGTTGGAGAAATGTTCAGCTAGAAACATGAGCGAATGTGCCCCAGGCTGAGTTTTATAGTTTTTAGCAGCAGCAGCTATGTTTATGATGGTTGTACATTACCCTGAAAAAAAATGTAAGATTAAGTATAGGATTCATGTTCTCAGACAGCTACCAGCGGAAAGGGCTCCAGGCCTCATGTCTTTACCTTCGAAAAATTGTGCTAGAAGTTGTTACTTTCAATGATAAAAGTTTTTCTGTTCTGGTAAACTGGAATATTTATATACCTAATGTTGGGACTTTCAACATTGCCTATGCATTATATTCAACTGGAAGCTTATGTAAAAACCCCACCAAACTAATCTTAGAGCTCAAGTCCAGCCTAAATAAATCACAAGGCAGGACCCAGAAGCCTTGATTGTTCCTCATTTCTGGATGGCTCAGCAGATGATGTTAACCTGTGACCAGCATTGAGCATTGCTGCTCCTCAGCCATTGCCACGCCATGGTGTACACTTGAATTCAGTTCTGGATGGGGACTTCTCATGGAACAAACTGCTGCCCCCAGTGAAGACAGTAAAGACAGCTGAGTTACCCATTTGCTCCCTCCCTCTTCCGACCTTCTCAGTCTGATCTATCCCTATGCCCACAGTTAGGCTATCCGTTAAGCAGGTTCTTACTGCTAAAATAGAATCCCACCAAGTTCTTGCCCTTTTCTTCTCTTTTTGGAAAGACTTATTAATCTATTTTCACCTGAAAGGCAGATCTACAGAGAGAGGGAGAGAGAGAGAGAGAGAGAGAGAGAGAGAGAGAGAGAGAGAGAGAGACAAAGAGAAAGACCTTCCACCCATAGGCTTATTCCCTAAATGGCTGCAGTGGCCATAGCTGAGCTGATCCAAAGCCAGAAGCGTCCCTCAGGTCTCCCATATGGGCACAGGGACTTGAGCCATCCTCCAGTGCCTTTTCAGGGCATAAACAGGGAACTGGATTGGAAGTGGAGCAGCTAGGATTCAAACTGGCACCTATACGGAATGCCAGCATTTGCAAGTGAAAGGTTAGCCTGATATGCCACTGTGCCAGCTCCAGTTCTCGCCCTTTCTGAAGTACGCTATTACCTTTGCCCTAAACCAAGACTAATCCCACCGGTCATAGAAAGAAGTGATCCCATGCTGAGTTGGAAGCTAAATTGTAGAAAGGAGGGAACAGATCCTGCTGTTAGCAGGCCACTTTTGGTGTACAATAGTGTATTCCAAAGAGAATTTCTGCTGGGTGGCTCTGACAAATCGTTTAATCTCTTTGTGCCTCATTTTCCTCAGCTGTAAAATGAAGATGCTATTTGTACTGACTTACAAAGTCATTGTGAGGATTAAACATAGAAAGTAGGGCCCGGCGCGGTGGCGCAGTGGTTAAGGTCCTTGCCTTGCATGCCTGGGATCCCATATGGGCACTGGTTCTATCCTGGCAGCCCCGCTTCCCTTCCAGCTCCCTGCTTGTGGCCCGGGAAAGCAGTCGAGGACGGCCCAAGGCTTTGGGACCCTGCATCCGCGTGTGGGAGACCCCGAAGAGTCTCCTGGCTTTGGATCGGCATAGTATCAGCCGTTGCGCTCACTTGGGGAGTGAATCATCGAACGGAAGATCTTCCTCTCTGTCTCTCCTCTCTGTATATCTGCCTTTGCAATAAAAAAAAATAATAAAAGTAAATCTTTAAAAAAACATAGAAAGTATTTGTATAGTGTCTCACGCACAATGGGAAACCTATGCACTCTGCTGGTTATTGCTATTATTAACTAACCCTTTCAAATTCTTGAATTTATAACTGGTGTGGAAGAGTTCCACATGGAGCATGCAAATAAACTCAAGAAGAGAAGGCATAATGACTAATTTTTCTTTTTGCGGCTTACACCCTTGTAGAGTTCTGAGAAATATTTTGAGCTATGGCATCTTCATCAGCTCCTGTATCCTGAGGCAATGTTTAATTTAGACTATCCATTTAAGATGTATAAATTCCAAGAGCTTTTGAGGAAAAGGCCTCTTTTTTTCGCTGTATAATCAAGCTTATATTTCTAGGACTCTTGGGCAATGATGGAAATGAGGGCAACAATTGCATAGCTGGCGAAGTACAAGCACCTGTCTCATTGATGGATTAACTCAATGTATGCATCAGTGAGTTTAGAATTTATTCATGACAAATTGTGTTCCAGATGCCATCCTGGGAAGTGGATACCATAAGTCCAGAGGGTTCATAGTAGGGGATTTTGTACTAATGGTGGAGAAGAGCCGGGAAGTGACGCTTTGACTTCTTCAGTATTGAGAACTGCATGTCCCATTTTCCTTTGAGCCACCCAGATCAACCATGATAGATGAGGGCCTTGACTTCATGTATCCTTATAAGGATCTTACTTTCTGAGAAGGCTAGCGAATCCATTTCTCTGTCCTTTTACTTGAATAAGCATCTTGCCTAGCACAGGAAAAAAGTAAGACAGCACAAAGAACAAAAAGAACCAGTTGGAGAGCAGCCCAGGGATGAGCAAACTTGGAAGAAACTGGGATGTTTGTGCTCCGGCATTCCAGGCTTTCTGTCCTGGCTGATCCAAAGCACCGAGTGTCAATTCAGGTGATACGTTCCTCTGTCGTTTCTTCTCTTTGGAACTTCTCCACATAAGATTTGGAAGAGTGTTTTTGTTTTGCTTTGTTTTAAAGTCTCACTAAACTCTTGGAAGCGTCTGTATTGCTTAAAAGTATTTTTAGATGATACTAAATGTGGAGTCACATTTAAACAGAAGCCTTCGCATATTGCCTAGAAATCTGAGTTTTATAAATACAGCAACTTTCAGAACATTCCACAGAGCTGTGAAATGTACATCATAGCCTTGGAGGTCTTAATTTTGAACATCACAATGACCTTCCTACCTGACACTTCCCCACCTATTTCCCCTAGTCTCTCTTTAAAGTTACGTCACAAGAAAGTGGCCTAAGTGTGTTTGTACAGCTTTCTTTCTTCTTTCAAAATCCAACTTGTCTCAAACAAAGTGTCTCATCTATTTGTTATATAGACTCGAATTTGACGTTTTTTTTTTTCTTTAACTGAACCTCCATGAAGCAACGTTGGCCATCGTGTCGACTGCTCTCACTGGCTGCGCTCTGCCCATGACTTCCCTTAGCAGAATGTGGTAATGTGATACAGAGTGTGTTCCGTTACCAACCTTTGAAAGAACAGACAGCTTCTGATTTCTCCTCATGGGGCGTTGGCTTTGGGGATCCTTGGGCTGATAGGAAAGAAAGCTCACCACCAGCTGCGGAGGCTATGTGACCAGGCTTTGAGATTCTATGGAGATGCGACAAGGAAAGCTATCCTGGAGTCCCGCTGAAACCTTCAGCTGAAGGCAGTCCTAACTGCCACTGCATTTCAATGACTTGAAATATTTTGAAAGAAACCAACAGAAGAATCACTTAGATGAGTCCAGCCACCCACAGAAGAGCATCACAATAAAATGGCAGTCAGTTACACAGCAGTAGATAGTGATGCATACAACAAACCTGTTGGCCGTAAGACTCTAAGTGATATAGTTTCATTTTGCCAAACACAAGTGCTTCCCTCACAATAATTCATGTATTAATTTGAAGAGTGACAGAAAAGTGATGTTTCAATGGGTATTTTAGGATTCAGATTAGTGAATGGCATTTTTATCCTTGATCAAAAAACTCATCAAAATGTGGAATTCTCTCCGTCCTTGTCCTCACCAGTGCTCGTGGTTTCTTCTCATCATTGCCCAACTCATCAGTGTCAGAGCTGGAACTGTCCCAGAGAAGCTGTCCCCGGGCTTCCTGCTCACGGATCCATGCTTCCATTTTACCAATTTTCTGGGTACAATAGTCACTTCCTGCATGATGCTCCAAAACTTCTGCATTTTCTAAATTTCCTACAAAAAATTAGAAATTTATTTAACGTTCCTTAACAATGATTTATTTGTTACTGTGTATTTTGTGAGCATAAAACAATCTAATTAATATTGTACATGCATCTATCCACACTCACACATGTACTTACATATACTTTTATCTCCATGCACACATACATTTATAAATATAATCCTAACAAGTGACTCTGTAAGCCTTGGAAAATATTTTAGATGTTATTTTAAATTTCTAAAAATTTTCTGAAAGTCTCAGGAATGGTCAAATACATATCTTATACCCTCAACCCTTTGACAATATTTTGCTGCAATGTTGCTTTCATCATATATCTAGATTTTTAATTTTATCTCTACCATCTCTTACTTCTGTCTGTCTCTATCCTTTTCTCTATTATTTCTATATCATTGGCCCTCTAGATCCATGGATTCAAACAGTTATAGATCGCAAAAAAAATTTTTTTAATAGTCTTTCCTAACGGTAAATTTATTTTGATTTTTTTTTTTATTGGTGCTTGACTTTGTATTATGTAGTTACAGTTTTTGAGCGCTGGATCCCCCCCCACCCCATCCCATACCCCGCCCCCCATGGTGATTCCACCACTTTGGCAAAACATAGTTCAAGTCAGTTGAATTCATGGCTTTGCAAACAACAGGCCGAGCAGAAAGTTCAGAGCGGCTTAGTGTCCGTTAAGGTTTCAGTGCCTCTGGGGGAGACCTTCTATGGCTGATAGGTCTAACAAGTAAAGATCCAGTCAGTTAAATGCCCCAACAAGGCGCATATCAATATACAACATTATGTAATTTATTACATAGTAGTGTAAACAAGATGTTAAATATAATGAAACCTCCGGAGTAAATTTTTGGGACAACGGGGCTGATAGCCTGGAGAAAACAAAAAAATAGACCACAATCTAGCACCATACACTAAGAGCCAATCTACTTGGATTTAAGACCATAAACCTCTACATCCAGAAAACCTTCAAACTCGTGCAAGAAAATGTAGAAAATACCCTGCAAGACCTAGGAGAGGTCCCGACGTTCTAAGAAGGTCACCAAAAGCAATAGCATTAAGAACAGAAAAAAAAATGGGAAACCTCATCAAAACTAAACGCTTTCTGTACACAAGGGAACAATCAACAAGGTAAAAAAGCCAACCCACAAGTGGGAGAAGATCTTTGCACACGAATATAGTGATAGGGCTAATTTCCAGGATAGACAAAAACTTCAAAACTAACCATAAAACCAAAACAAACAAGCCACTCAAGAAATGGGCACGGGAAATGGGCAAACATTTCACAAAGGAACAAGTCCAAACGGCAAACAAACATATGAAAAAAAATTTTTAAAGGTTGCATCTGTACAAAACAGGCATTGTTTTCTTGACATTATTCTCTAAATAATACAGCATAGCAAATATTTCTATAGTGCTTCCCTTGTATGAGATATTATAAATAACCTAGAGAAGATTTAGATATGCCAGTTTATATAACAGACTGGAGCATTCTGATGTGTGTGGGAGTCCTGGAATCAATTTCCCATGGATACCAACAACAGGGGTTATTTGTAGGTGCTCTGTTTGATAATTAGTTGTAGGGTTACTTGTCCCCTAAGTATATCACACAAACGGTTTAAGAATAAGGGTATTCATATCCAGATGTGGGGGTATAATGCAACATGCATTCCTGCTTTCATATGAAAGATGGATTCCCAATGAAACTGTTGGAAATGTGTAGGCAATGGGATGCTGGACTGTCTGACATTATCTGTACCAACAATGTTGGGGTACACTTAAATAAGAGACTGATGGAATTATGATTCCTTATGAAGGACTATATACTATTATAGTAAAATGGGGAAAATCTGTTGGTAGGTGGAAGTTTGGGGAGGGAATCCCAGTCTATACAAAATTGTACCACATAATTCAAAAATTCAAAATAAAAATATAAAAAAAAGCAATCAAAAAAAGAATAAGGGTATTATCCCTATATAAAAACCAGACAATTATTACTCTTATGAAAGTTAACTCTGGGATAATGTTTTTTTCAAGTATCCATAAATATAATGTCCTTTCTAACACCCTTTTGTTTGTTTGTGTTTTAATTTTTAGGATCATGTATTACATTTTTTTTAATATTAATTTTTTAAATTGGAAAGACAGAGAGACAGAGAGAAAGATCTTCCATCCATGGTTCATTCCCCAAGTGACCAGAAAGGCCAAGCTGAGCCGACCAGAAGCCAGGAGCCAGGAGCTTCGTCCAGGTCTCCCACAGAGGTGCAGGGTCCCAAGGCTTTGGGCTGTCCTCTGCTACTTCTCCGGGCCACAAGCAGGGAGCTGGATGGGAAGTGGGGCATGTACTTTTTTAAAAAAAGTTTTATTTATTTTTCTTGAAAGGCAGATTTACAGAGAGAAGGAGAGGTAGAGAGGAAAGATCCTGCATCCATTGTTCACTCCTCAGGTGGCTCCAGTGGCCTGAGCTGACCCAATGTCAGGAATTTTCTCTGGTTCTCTCATGTGGGTGCAGGGTCCCAAAGTCATCCTCCACTGCTCTCCCAGGCCAAAAGCAGGGAGCTGGATGGGAAGTAGAACAGCTGGGACATGAACTGGTGTCCATATGGGATCCTGCAGATGCAAGGCAAGGAATTAGCCATTGAGCCATTGCGCCAGGCCCAGTTTTCTTTTTTCTCCCTCACTCTCTCACTGTTTGCCTACCCACCTTTTATTTTTGGTGCCTTGTAGCAAACAGTGGTCTGTTTTCTGTAACACTGATATTTCAGAGAGTCCAGGCTTGGGCTTGCCTGATTGGTTCCTTGTGATTGAGGTTAAATATTGGGCAGGAACATCACACAGGCGATGTTGCCTGATGCTCTTCACTGAGCATCTTGTATGTGCTAGGCTCGTGATGCACCCTTGTAACCTACACATCAGTTCTGATTCACATGAGACGCACTCGGGCAGCCTTTTAGACCGATGCCTGGTCTGTGCCTTTAAGTAGAACTGAGGAGCTCAGTGGGTTAGGTGTTCTCTTTCACTTTTTATTTTTTATTACAAGAGAATTTATTTCTGGCGTGGGATTTGATTTATGTGTACACATATTTACTTTAGCTTTTTTATTCAAGCAGTACTCAGTGTCCTTTCCGAATGCTTTCCAGACCGCCTTGTTTAAGAAGGTCTGGCTTTCAATAAAACAAAATCTTCTCAATTACTTTGAACCTGGGATCGTAATCCTAGGCTAAAGCCCAGAGTTTCTTCACAGAGTCTGGAATAAGCAGCCATATTTTTTGGCATGTCATTTTAATGAGAAACGCATTAGAACTTTTGCTGTATTCTATTTAAGCCATTGACATCTGAAGTTGGATATTGTTATATAACAAAATAAAACATAGGGCTCGGCAGGGCAGCTTAGTGGTTGAAGTCCTTGCCTTGCATGTGCCAGGACTCCATATGGGTGCCAATTTCTGTCCTAGTTGCTCCACTTCCATCCAGCTCCCTGCTTGTGGCAAAGGGAAGCAGCAGAGGATGGTCCAAAGCCTTGGGACCCTGCACCTGCTTGGGAGACCTGGAAGAAGCTACTGGCTTCGGATTGACTCAGTTCTGGCCATTGCGGTCACTGGGGGAGTAACCAGTGGACGAGAGAGCTCTCTTTTCTGTCTCTCCTCTCTGTAAATCTGCCTTTTCAATAAAAAATAACAAAATCTTAAAAAGAAAATAAAGCATTTCCTTTTTTCCTTATACATAATCTTTGAAAGAACTATTTTACTGAGATCTGATCAACGTACAGAAAGTTGTGCATATTTAATGGAGTATAACCTGATATGTTGAAAAACAAGCATTTCAATGCAAGGATTTTTTTATGGTAATTTTTTTTCTCTTTCTGCCTCACTGTGAAGCTATCCTGCTCTTCCCTTAATACACTTATAATCACCGTGTTTTAGTGCTTTTTTACATGATGCTTAAAGGTAACTACAGTTGAGCCTGGCCCTGTGACTTGGAGGTGAAGATGCTTTCCCTTGGTACTGTCATCCCATACGGATGCTGCTGCATGTCAAGGTTGCTCCACTTAGTACCTAACTTCCTACTAATGAACCTGGGAATACAACAGAGGGTGACCCAGGTCCTTGGGCTCCTGTACTCATGTGAGAGACCTGGAGGAAGCTCCTTGCTCTCAGCTTCAGACCAGCACAGCTTCAGCCATTTGCAGCCATTTGGGGAGTCAACCAGCAGATGGAGTATCTCTCTCAGTCTCTCCCTCTCTCACTCTGCCTTTTGATAAATAGATACTTTTTAAAAAAAATTATTACTAACTATAGACAGTTTACATCTGTAGGCCTGGTCTCTCTCCTAAGCTACAGTAGATGTTTTGCAAAAATTGGACATGTCTCCTTTGATGACTACCTGTCACTCATCTTCTCTTTCCCTGGCAAATCTGCTCTGTTCCTGGCTTCTGAACTGCGGCCAGTGGTACCACCTCAATTCTACAGTCTACCTAATTCTTCAAGAGCAACTCAAGAATCCAGCTGGCTTTCTTACTTTCTCCATATGACCGCATGTAAACCACCACCAAGTTTTACCAATTCTGGTTCAAGCACCTCCCCTCCCCTCCCCTCCCCTCCCCTCCCCTCCCCTCCCCTCCCCTCCCCTCCCCTCCCCTTCCCTCTCCTCTCCTGTCCTTCCTTCTTTCCTTCTTTCCTTCCTTCCTTCCTTCCTTCCTTCCTTCCTTCCTTCCTTCCTTCCTTCCTTCTTTCCTTCCTTCTTCCTCCCTCCCTCCCTCCTTCCTTCCTTCCTTCCTTCCTTCCTCCCTCCCTCTTCCTTCCTTCCTTTCTTCCTTCCTTCCTTCTTTCCTTCCTTCCTTCCTTCCTTCCTTCCTTCCTTCCTTCCTTCCTTCCTTCCTTCCTTCCTTCCTTCCTTCCTTCCTTTCTCTCTCTCTCTCTCTCTCTCTCTGCCTTACCAGGTCCTTTTATCCAACAGCGGAACAGGAGTGGGGGTGGAGAGGGGAACAGGAAGGGAA